AGAAATATACACCGCACGTAGGTTTTCGTTGCTTCATGGATGCTTGATTAAGCAACCAACCCGTACTGCAGACCCCGGGCAACCCGTGAGTTTTGGTCACGTGACTGCACCGTTGTTTTGTAGCAATCACATAATTTGTGTCACAGTGTTTACAATTAATGTATGTTAGGCCAAACGTCGACCACGTGCTGACCACGTGCGGCTGCGGACGTGGTCTGTTTGTCGGGTTAAGGTCACTGACATGACCTTATCTCCCTCATAGTCCGACGTCAGCATTTCCTCTACATCAGTATGCTATTTCAATTGCATCTATTTTAATTTGCCTGAAGGGGGGGGGACGACTGAAATGATTAATGGGGCTGGGCAACGTCATTAACAGCTGTGCATGTGGAAAATATGCTATGCGGGTGGAAAATGCAGTCGAATTCTTGTGACCGTGTGGCACTGATTAAGGAGCTTATGAACATTCCTATTCGTGTCAACTTCCCTGTCTATTTTTGTAATGTTTCTTCCCACCCTGAAGGCGATCGTTCAGAATTGTGACGTCATATGCTGGCACGATTTGTTGACGCACTTATGTCGCGGTGCCGAGAGATAGGGCCGTAGATGATCTGATATGTGATATGTAGTTTATGACTGGATGCTCAAACTAAGGACCAAAGAGGCTTGCTCGCTGCAATGTCACACCCGACGTCTGAATGTCTATTTAAGTAGTCTTAAATATTCAGGCATATAAGACAGCTGTAATCGATGGACAACCGCTAATCGTCTACAAATATCACTAAAACTAAGTGGCCGGCCAGCTTTCGGACACGCGACCAAAACTCCCTGGGCTTCTCGCCTCTAAAAGAATGACTGGCGTGACCCGACAGGGCGGTGGTGGAAGAAAACTGAGCCTGTGTGCAGCGGTGGTTCACCTGCTCCATCCGGCCTTTTTTCTCATTCTCACCTTATCTTGGATCCTCGGAACGTCCCGTTTGCCCAGGCAAGCTATGTGCGCCAGTCATGAGTGGGCTGTGTCCCCTGGTGTGTGGCCCGTCTGAGTGAATGCCCTGTAAAAGGGTCCATATGTGCGCTCGGTCTCGGCGGATGGGCACCCCAGTGCATGAAGCTTTGCCCCACTTTTTTCCATTCTCCTGAAATGGTCCTTACTGACCGAAAAGGCTCCAATCCAAATCAAACCCAATAGCCGAGGTGCTAGCCGTCGAAATGTGTTACGACACTTAACAGAAGCTTAGCGCAGGCAGATGTCCGATCTAAAGCTTGGTGAGACGTATGCGCGCCGGTGCACGTAAAAAAGACGTTTGTGTGAACGAATCCTTTAGTTTGCATGGATGACAGCACCGTTCACGGTTGTCTGATTCCTACTGTCGCACTCATGAACATCCAAAAGTCCAACGTAAAAGTTTTCGCGACAGATACCGTTGAAATCCGAACCGCCTTATGATTCTTTGACACCGGGGGCTTTCAGGAGAACATGACACTCCAGCACACAAGTGCCTGTACAAAGGCGGGCCGCGCGAGAGACTGTGTAAATCGAACTCGAATTCCGAACGGAACCGGGTCGAACGGACAACCGACATATTTCCGGGGTGCCTCATGTCCCTCACGTCAGACGCATCGTCCCCTGGACGCTGGCCAGCTACCAACTTTAAACCAGCTCAGCGTCAGACAGCATGCACCACCAAGCCTGCACCCTAGCCACTCAGCCTGGGTGGGAGGCTTCGGTTCACCACCACGGCGGGGTTCGCTAGACGCGGCGAGCGCGCAGGGGCGCGCCGGACGGCCGGGGTGATCTCCCGCACGTGCCGGTCATCGGGCGCAGCTCGGTCGTCCGATCTATCTGTCGCACATATTGTCCAGACCGGGTGGCGTCAAGTGCTGGCGCGAACGGGCGCTGCCGCTTGGAGATGGACGCCGCGTATTGATGTCTCATCACCCGGGCGTGGCGAACTTACCTCGTTATAAATTCCAGACCCGGCCGAGCCGCGTCATTCGGCCAATGACGTTTTGAATTAATCATCTCGGCCGCGCGTGTGTCGGCATAAATTGACGTGGTCTCCAATATTGAGTGGTCCCTGGCAGTCACGACCTTCACAATGGATGGTTCAGTAAGAGCATGCCGCCCGCCGCGTTCTGCATGTGATTGTGGCATTGCTGTTCTGCGTCGGAATGCATCAAAGTCCACTATTATTTACCCCGTTCGACTTCAGCTCAACTTTTGTTGCCTGAGACACAGTCCCGCGGGCTTGAGAGGGCGGTGCTTCCCTCAGGTCAGTTGCGAACTATCCATTTTGCAGTGTTGGACAAAAGGCCGCAGGAGGTCATTCAAGCTAACGAGTTCTTTGCAAAGCTTTTAAGGCTATTGTAGCCGTTGAAAAGCTCTCTCAAACTCAGTAGGACATTCAAGGCCTGGGGGAACGGACAGAAGTACAGCCTTCGCTGCCGTACTGATGGGGGTTACCAGTCCGATTATTGGTACCATTATCGGTAAGTAAGTGACATTTTGAGCAGCATTTCGTTATGTTATGACAATGAGCAGATCCGTCGAGCCAGGTCTCAAACCATCCCGTCTTTTAAAATACGGAAAACTCTCTCTCTCTCTCCCTCTCTCTCTCTCTCTCTCTCTCTCTCTCTCTCTCTCTCTCTCTCTCTCTCTCTCTCTCTCTCTCTCTCTCTCTCTCTCTCTCTCTCTCTCTCTCTCTCTCTCTCTCTCTCTCACACACACACACACACACACACACGCACACACACCCACACACACACACACACACACACACACACACAACACACACACACACACACACACACCACACACACACACACACACACACACACACACACACACACACACACACACACACACACCACACACACACACACACACACACACACACACACACACATCGATGACTTTTAGCTCTAGCTCTATGGTATAGTGAGCACGATTTATTATATGCTTGAATTCATCGACATTTCCAAATAGTAACAGGCATGCATCGAAATTATTTCATGATTTATTGCCACAGATAAAGGTCGCTGGTGCCATTATGAACATCGTATATTTACAGACCTGCCATGCAGGAGCACTTAAACAGACATGCATTTGGAACTGTCTCAAATAAAAACCCAATTGATTATATGCTGTGAGTCGTTAACAAGACAGCTGTTGATAACGGCACTCTGTCGGCGATAAATACGCATGCTTTTTTAGTGGAAATAATCGGTGGTCAATGGCCATTTCATGCACAATATATGTTCATATTTATGTTTGTTGGCACCAACATCAGCAGGTATATTGCTCAATGACAGGTGCACTCAAGGTGTGAAACCAAGCTGCTAGCACGGTAATCACCGAAACGTTTAAAGAGCGATTGTCTCTCGCCACACCTGGGTTTGAAATGCAAAGCTTCGCCAATGGATTTTAACACATGCCACGTTGTATGGGAAATATCCGAGAGCCAAAACTGAGGTCTAGCGATAAAAAGTTATTAACACTAACGTTTGTTTTCAAAGCGAGTTCGGTAATCCTGTAACACAAATCTCGTTGTCTTGTTCAGATTTGTACTTTTGCGATAGGCTTTCAGTCAGCGGATGTTTCGTTCAAAACAATTAAATGGGCTGCAACTACAGCACATCGTGCATTACATAACCAGCATCCCAGGCCTGACAGAAGAGCAGTGAAGCACTAACACTGGCCAAGATTGTCCCTGCGCTAGCTCACAGCTGACGGGACCCGGTATGCGCTCCCCCCCCCCCACTCCGTCCTTCCCAGTGCAACCACAGGACGTAATGCAGCAAAAGAACAAATGAAATGCGGACAAATAACCCTCGCGGTTATTTGCAGCGTGTGTACAGATTATATAAATAAATAAATAAATAAATATATATATATATATATATATAACCTTATATATATATATATATATATATGACAATAACCTTATATATATATATATATATATATATATAAGGTTATTGTCAAGGTCACATAGCTCATTGATCACTGTTTTCAGGCTTGATCTCAAACCGACCTCGATGCCTCAATACCCAAACATTTAGCAGATTTGTTTCGCAGGAGTCCTACATTAAACCAATGGAGTTCTGATCGCTCTATTAGGTCTCTGCCCTATGATAACGACTTGACCTGTAAGAGTAACTGTAGGTGAGAGTGGCGCTGCTAAGCCATGAAAACAAGGCCGGCAAATGTTGTGCCCAGAAGATGCATTACGAGAAGTAAGGGCGACAAAGTAACTCAATAACCTCTGATGACATTCTACGGCAAAAGGAACGCATTCAACATAGAGATAAATGCTGTCCAGTTTAAAAAAGCAGATAAAACCAAGCAAGCTATTCTGTAGGAGAAAGCAAAATGTCGGAATGGGTCGTTACCTCATGATGCCATTAAAATGTCATTTGCATGCCAGGAACTAATACTGTTGAGCCGAGAAAAGCCGGCTAGAAGAAGGAATTACCACATTGGAAGCCATCACTTCAAGGATATTCTGCGTTGGACCACGCCTTGGATCTTGATGCCCTAAATATAGCTGTCTGGGCCAGCGACCTTCGCATGACGCGTAGTAAATGTTGAGAATCCGTGGAAAATTAAGTTGGCGTAAGGTATTGACAACCTCGTGACGGTAGGGTAACGCTTCAACTTCTATCTCGAGGAATTTCAAAGGGTGCCATTGAGACTACTTCCTTTCGTAAGTTCAGTAGGAAAAGATACCATATGTATTGGCCGGCGTTAGGCCAGCGTTCTACTTTAAGTTCAGAAATTGCTTACGCATTGTTTTTGGGGAGAGAGTCACTCTCCAGCCTTCAGTGACCGTCAAGCGGATGCAGGAGAGAAGGCAGTTTCCTGAGGCCCACGAGCCGGCTTCAGTACTTTCCGGCCGTTCGGGCTCAGCGCAGTTTCATTGCCTAGCGGAGCGCGTTGTAGCCCTGTTGACGACCGCCTCAGCCTGCCGGTCGCCTCCTCACAACGGCTGGCGTTACAGGCGGCACCGACTACCTGCCACCGGCCGACCCGCCAATCGTGGTGCGCAACGGCACCAACGCATCCGTGGTGCTCGATTGCGCCTACACGCTGCCGCCGGGCGACGTGCTGCTACACGTCAAGTGGTTCCACATCCGCGGCGAGTACAAGCTGGTCTTCCAGTGGATCAACGGGCAGCCTCCGCAGGCGCTCGGCCCGCTGCGGCACCGTCTCAACCTCAGCTTCACCGCCTCTGAGACGGCCAACGAGCGCTTCCGGGCGCTGCAGATTCTCCGGCCGACCGTCGAGCTGAGCGGCAGGTACCTCTGCAAGGTGACCTCCACACGTCGTGACGTCACGCGGCAGAAGCGGCTCGTCGTCTACAGTGAGTGGCGGGCTTGTCGGCGTAGCGCTGGTGTCGGTCTTGCTTGGGATGCGCTTGCGCGACGGGAATGTGTGCTTGATGCGCAGAACTCCAGCCGTGTTGTTATAGCCACGCCGGAGTTTAGGTCTTCATTCGTGCTGGTATCGGCGGCGGAGCGCTCGCTGATATTCTGCAAAGAGATGCGCGGTTCGTCCGGCCGTGCTCCAACCCAGCAAGTTCTGCTGCAATCTTACTTGGTCTCATGCGTACTTAAATCCAAACCGTTTTAGCCACTCCTATGCCAACGTCAAGTGAAGATATTGCATCACTCCATTCGCAAAAGCTTGGACACGTACTGTTTATACCAGATGCACCATTTCGCTTTCAGTTGGTTGATGAAGTTACAATGCGAGCAATCGACTTAAGAGAGCACGTTGCTTCTTCCAAATAAACTGTTCTTCTAAAGCTCAAAATGTTCTAAAGAAGCTGTGGATTGATGGATCCAACTCGCCATGACCTGGTTTCCGAGCATGCATTGCGATGGGTGCTGATGTTAACTTTTACTGTCTATTCTGCACCAACGTAACCAATGCTTATATGGGCACTGTAAGCATAATAATATTGAATACTGTTGGGCGTGAATGAAATGCTCATCCATGCTGTTTCATACGACCCTGATCATTTCGTGTCTTTCCACCAGTGGTCTCTCTCTCTCTCTCTCTCTCTCTCTCTCTCTCTCTCTCTCTCTCTCTCTCTCTCTCTCTCTCTCTCTCTCTCTCTCTCTCTCTCTCTCTCTCTCTCTCTCTCTCTCTCTCTCTCTCTTTCTCTCTCTCTCTCAGAAACCCAGCTGCTTCTCTCTCACAGGGTGGTTCATATGAAGTTATTGGTATCGCATATTCAGAAAGCCCGTGTAAACAGTCATTTGCGTTTTGGCTTGCAATTAATCAGCCACTGCCGCGAGATATTCCGCTATCCGCTACCATCAGTTGTGTCAAATACGTGCACCTTGTGTATCAGCACCTCATCGTCGGATCAAAAACAAGCCAATCAAACTGCAATCGATAGCTCTTTCATTGTTGCTCAGGAGTTGTCAAGTTGGTGCCTGTCACCAGACTGATGACGTCACACGACGCGAACATGACAACATTACATAAACACGTGCCCCGCGTGTCTCAATATCTTATCATCGGATCAAAAACAGGCCAATCAAACTGCAATCGATAGCTCCATTCACTCTTGCTCAGGACCTGTCAAGTTGATGTATGTCACCAAACTGATGACGTCACAAGTCATGCAATATGCTTTAAAATCACAAAGATTTTGAAGTGAGTTCACGACCCTCTGGCTCGCACAATAATGGCCGTATAGGCTTGAAATCGGCACCATGCAAACGAACACGATCTGGTGCTACAGACCCACATCATGATGATAACAAAGATAAGGGGTTAGGTAAGACCAGGTCAGGTTCAGCTCAGGTAATGACAAAATGGCCTCATCAAACACGATTTTTCGGCCCGCCCATTTCACTTGCAGACATCTTTAGTTTAGCGTAAGGTCAGCGATACCGACTTATGTATTACAAATGCGTGGCAACGTTGTCTGGTTCGGCAATTCACACTTGACCTAAAATGGCCCTTGATGGTGACCTGGTGTGACCCATATAATATGACTGACCGCGACTGGCACACACACACACACACACACACACACACACACACACACACACACACACACACACACACACACACACACACACACACACACACACACACACACACACACACACACACACACACACACACACACACACACACACACACACACACACACACACACACACACACACACACACACACACACACACACACACACACACACACACACACACACACACACACACACACACACACACACACACACACACACATACACACAGGGCACATAGATGACAACAGCTTGCCACCATCTGTTATTGTGCACTTGGCATAGCTGGATTCGTGCAACGCTTGTGCAAGGCCTCCTGCCTGCCGTTATTGAGTAAAATCGTTAGATTTCATGGCCGAGTTATACCGGACTTCCCAGGGCTGATCACAGAAGAATTGCCTCGTTCTTGCAGCGTCACCGAAGGAGATGTCCATATCAGAAGTGCAGACCGGGTTTCACATGGTGAACATCACGTGCCACGTGACGGGCATGTACCCGGAGCCGCGGCTGGAGCTGTACGGCGGCGCCAACACGCGTACCATGTGAGTGACGCGTCTCGGGCCGCCCCAGCTGACGGGTATTGACGAGCCGCCGCCGCCGACAGACCAGCCGACGCCGGCGGCCCGATTGCCTGCCGCCCTCCCCCCCCCCCCCCCCACCGCCCCCGAGACAGCAGCGGGCGGCGGGGCGGGCGGAACGGCCATGCTTTCGCAGCATGGTGCCCAATGTTGAGTGGTTCATTGGGATAATGTCGGAGCGAACTGGTCTCAGTCGAAAGATCGACTAGAAAAACGCGTCGAAGAGTTAAGCAATGGAAGTGCAAAATTCTGACGGTGTTAAGTACAAAGGGGATGAGATTAAATCATATGGAGCGACAATACAAATCATGAAAATAAATACCAAAGGCTTTGGAAGATGGAGCCAACTGGTTTCATATTGGCAATAGGAAAATTGGGTCATATAAGAATAGATTGATCAGATTGTGTAAGATTACGCCATGAAGAAACACATTGCATTGGCTTTTGCTTTGGCTTTATTAACCTTGAACCCAAGCTGTGTGTCGCCAGCAAACGTGATGGTACTTTTACATTTGGCTCTTTAGCCTGACACAATTCTGACAACGCTTTTTTTTCGCCGCTTTTTTAACTTTTGGTTATACCCCCCCATGATTGTTTCATGATAGACTGCTGTCGGCTATTTACACTATGACAGTTGAAGTTTCTTAAGTCGGCGATTTGTATTACTGATTTACAAATGTGCCACTATAAAGCTTTATTTATGCACTACACCCATTTTTATTTCACTTTATCATTTCTATTTTGTTCTTAATCCCCTTGTGCTTGTCTGTGGTATTGGCCTGGACATTTAGTCTTTTTTGACCGGTATCTTGGATATTCTCTTTATTTATTCCAATGCTTGTCAATACCCTGTGCTCATGTGCCATGGCGTTTTGGTGTTACATCAATTTCTAAGTCGAATATTGCCACCATATATATATATATATATATATATATATATATATATATATATATATATATATATATTTATATATACAGTCAATATTTTAGGGTTAGATGCCACCTCAGTTTGATGTTGAGCCGTTTCTGTTGAAGTTGCAATAAGCAACTGCTATGTTGAGCTGGTCCATGTGTTGGTTTGCTGTGACTGTCTTCGATATTTTCCATTCAACTTCATACTTGATTCTTTAATCGGCGGCCACGATGGGCACAGATTATACACCCGCCCTGCTTTGGTTTACGCTAAGATGTAGTTCAGAACTATAACCTAACAGCAGCGGTGCAGTTCTTATGCATGGAATGTTGCCCATCAATACATCCTCCCACAATGTGGGAAGCGATTTTGCAGCTCGAAATAATTTTATCATTCGTTGAGTGCGTCTCTGCGACAGAAGCATCAAGACCGAGTAGCTGTGGACAAGCTCCCTCCGGATGATGCGATTTGTACCTTCCTCTTTTTCATAAAACGTTACATAATGTTAATGATGGATTTTGCTGGAGTAGAGCGGTCGTCTGTTCTTTGCCCTCCCCCCCCCCCCCCCCCTCCCCCTCTGCCGCTGTCGCCAAATGTTTGACCAACGCATAGCTCGGTGATTGGTCGTTTTTCATGGTGCCTCCGAGCGGAGGATGTCATTAGCTGAGTGGGTAACTCGCTCACTGCTCTGTCCCCCAGAGCGTATGTCATTTTCTTAAAAACCATACGGAAATCGGCTTTTTAGCGTGCGGCATGCGAGGATGATGAGGTACTGCGCGGGACGCGCCTGAGATGAGAGGGGTACATGCGAGATCCTCCGCCGAGTAAGCGTGTGGGATGCTGAGCAAGCTGCTCAAACGTCCGGTGTCCGTCGTGTCATCCGTATGCTGCTCAGCTATGTTGTCTGTTCCGCAGGGTGCCGATCGAGGGATTGCACAAATACGTCAGCTGGCGCGACGGGCTATATGACGTCACCGCCTTCTGGGTGACCCGTGACGAATTCCTGCGTGACCACACCGTTTTCGAGTGTGTCATGCGGGTCGCTGACACGAATTATGTGGAGAAAAGGGAGATCTCCTACTCGCCAGGTATGACAAATTCTGCCATAAGTCCGGGGCTGCGGCTGGACTTAAGGCCCTAATGTGGCCACCATAGCTGCTCATGCTCCGTAAAATGACGTGCGGTGGCTGGTGTCAAGTTCTCAGAAGGTAGCAAAGACTTAATCGCTACCATCTTGCAATGCCCAGACGCTTAAGCGGCTGCAAAGCGCAGCATAGATATATGTATTGTTAGTTGAAAGTTTCTATCCATAGTCAAAACACCACAAATATACCAGGAGGTATGGCGCTGTTATGCTAAATATAATTCGTGTTGATGGAACTCAGTAATTCAAACTGTCCGCATCCTCAAGAGTTAACACAGCTCGGAACATGGCTCTCGACGATCACCGCAGGTAAAAACATTGAGTGTTATCAATATAAGCGTTGTTTAACACTACAACATCGTTTAACCAGTATCTCCTGGGGCATGCTGAGGGTCACGAGCTCTCCATAAGAGCTTCTAACTCATAACGCCGGGCAGCCAGATGCTGAACACCCTCCTTTCTTACATCAAGTACAGAACTAAATTGAATTCATATATACATCTCAACAGTTGTCGCGAAGGAGACGCCCTTCACTTTCCTGTAGTAAATAAATGAGCTTAATTCATATAAACGTCCCAGCAGTTGTGGCGACAGGGGACTCTCTCCGCTTTCCTGAAATGCCAAAATAAACTGTTGTCGACTTCTAGAGCTACCGCAATGGCTCCGCGCGGCCCAAATCTTGACGTTCCATTTAAGTTTCCGGCTGAGTAAAATCCTCTTAGCGGCAGCTCTCACCAAGCCAATTAAATTTCAGGGCGCGCGATGTCGGCCGGCCCGCCGACCATTGTCATATCCGGCCCCTCCAACGTGCGAGGTAAGTCCGAGGGCAGCTGGATAATCGCCGCCGCGGATTTATTCTGATAACTCCGTTCCGTTTCTCGCTTCGGCTCCCAAATTTGCGCGTTTCTATTCCGCTGTGCGGTTGACGCGGCCAATGTTGGGATGCTGTCACGCGGCCCGCCCCTCCCCACGGCCGCAAACGCTGTCCGAACCCGGCCCTTTGGTCGGGAGATTTCCGCTTCGGTGTCGCCCCGTGCGTTTGCACTGAGTGCGCGATTTAGCTGCCGCCTTCATTTGAATATTGGATTGCGCTTAAGGGCGAGAAGAAACGTAAGGGACCGTTGAAAGTTGGACAAAGAAGCCGTTTTTGAAGGAAACTTGACCGAGGGAAGAAAGCCAGGAGAACGAAATGCAACGAGCTAGCTAAGCTGACTTTCCCATCAAGTCAAAATGGTGTTTTGTGTGGTGCAACAGTCGCATCTCCGAACCGTATACGCCGACCTCGAGCTTGACGAACCCAATCTGGTTAAAACCAATCTCTTGAAATGCACGCGCCAGTGCCATTTCGCGCCGCTAACAACGCCCCGCAAAACCTCGCCCGCCAGTGGTCTCGGCGGCAAAGCACCGCCGGCGGCCATAAACCCGTGTTATAAACCGCCGTCGGACGATTAGCATTTAGTGGGGGACACTCCTCTTTTGTGTCCGCTAACGACCGGCGGGGACGGCGCGGCTTGGAGCTCCATTGTGCCCCTCCGGCGTGCCGGTGTCACACGGGAGGGGTCATCAGTCATCGGCAGCGCGGGCGCTTCAGACCTGTCCGAGCCCACTCCTCCGAGGAGCTGGCAGGTCCGCGGGGAGCCGGCATGTCCTCTGGGCGAGCTGGCAGGTCCCCCGGGCGAGCTGGAAGCTCCTCCGGGGGAGCCGGCAGGTCCGCGGGGGAGCCGGCAGGTCCGCCGGGCGAGCTGGTAGGTCCCCTGGGCAAGCTGGAAGGTTCGCCGGGCGAGCTGGAAGGTCCGTCGGGCGAGTTGGTGGGTCGGCCGGGCGAGCTGGCAGGTCCACTGAGCGAGCTGGGAGGCTCTATGGGCGAGCTGGAAGGTCCACCGGACGAGCTGGGAGGGGTCTACTAGGCGAGCTGGAAGGTCCTCCGAGGAGCCGGCAGGTCCTACGGGCGAGCTGGGAGGTCCTACGGGCGAGCTGGGAGGTCCTACGAGCGAGCTGGCACTTCGACCGGGCGAGCTGTCAGGTCCACCGGACGAGCTGGCAGGTCCTACGGGCGAGCTGGGAGGCCCAACGGGCGAGTTGGGAGGTCCACTGGGCGGGCTGGGAGGTCCGCCGGACGAGCTGGAAGGTCTACCGGACGAGCTGGCAGGTCCTACGGGCGAGCTGGCACTTGGACCGGGCGAGCTGGCATTTCGACCGGGCGAGCTGGCATTTCGACCGGGCGAGCTGGCATTTCGACCGGGCGAGCTCGACTGGAGAGCGTCAGCCCAGGACCGTTCAGCTCGAGCTGCCGTCGTGACCAGCGCAGCTGAGTCTGAAAGAGAGCCGACCTGCTCAACTGTCCTCCGAGTGCCCGCGTTCATCCGAACTTTTAGGAGTCCGGTGGTGTTTCTAGTAGGTCACAGAGGGAGAGCTAAAGGTTTCACTGTTCCTGGGGTCAGACGGTCGGCATGCAGTCAGGCCCTGTGCTGGGTCTCCACGCCTTACAACTTGTGCCATATCTAGCCTGTTGTTTTGTTCTAAAAGAAAGCCCTTATGTTTGAAATAAGCAAAAACACTATCACGCAATGATTTCCTAAGCATCATTGTTGGACCGCGCAGGGTGTGTGCATGCTCGCTGGTTTGCAACATGTCTGCAATTGCCTCCCGTCGCGATTGGTCTCTTGCATCGCACTTTATCACTCGCATTTGTCTGTTTTCATCGCGTCCATCAGAGACCGATGAGCCGGTGCGGCCGGATCCTCCCGGCGTTTACAGCGCCTGTTCCACTAAAAGCGGGTAAACTTGATGGCGCCAAACTGCATTCCAAAGTGTCGAGCGCGCGGCGAAATAGGCGCACATCCGTCGCTTCGAGAGCCAGAATGGTCGTCCCAATCTGAATCCGTGTATACGACCCAAAGCTCCAGCCGATCCAGACCAAGTGATACGACAGCCATCTGCCGGTGGATGCCATCGCGACTCCGACCTGCGTGCTCTCCTTGCTGCCCGATCCATGAGGCACGCAGGCGTGCTTGGCGTGGCCTGCACTCACAGAGATCATTGCGTGCCCGCTCAGGAGAGTGCGGCTGTGGATTCCTGCGTTCACAAATTTTGAGCCTCGTCGAATGGTGGAGATATGTGCTGCACGTGCAGTGTTGTTTTTTTCGACAGCTCTGGGAAAGCTCCCGTGAACAGTCAGCTCTAGGAGACAGTGGGTATCACCTGTGGGTATCGACCACATATTGTTAGGTTCCGTGCATAGGGAGCCACTGAAGAGATATCAAACGTTTGAACATGACATTTGACTTAGGCTCTGTCGTTCACATCCATGGCCCATGTTGTGGCGGCTGAGATCACATTGCTTACATGGAGGCGGGTTGTTAAGATAAGTTGCTCCCGTCCTTGGCATGGTATATTGAGTCCGTAAAATACGATAGCTGTTGGGTCACAAAATCGCTCGCCAGCGATGTCACTTCGTGAAAATGGGACGTCCAAGAGTGTAATTTTTAGAGCAGCCGTTTGAACTTTAGTACAGCACTTCCATCGTGAATCTGGTCGTACCCTAAATGGAATGGTCCGGTTTTAGGAAATTAATTGTCTCTACGACCGAAATAGAACGTGAGCTAACAAATGCCGTTTGTTGGCCGTGTCCTCCTCTTCATTTTATGACCGGCGGAACTTTAGCTGGCGGCGAGCGCAGCATTTGTCTACAGGAAATCTGTAATATGTGGTCTGAATATAAGTGCGGGTATCGCGGACTGGTGCGGATCGGTTATGGATCCCAAACCTGCACTGGGACAAAAGGTGCTGTGTCGCCGTCTTTCCAAGAGTTCCTTTTCTCTGTGACAGCGGCTGGCTGGTATCACAATGCTCAAGTCACTTCTTTTGTGGCGTAGTCTCCGAAAGAAAAGAAGTTGAAATCCTTTTGGTTGGAAGAAGATCTCTACAAAAATGTCAGACATATGCTATTTTCATGCTGTTTAAGTTTTGAACTTGTCTGCACCATCCGTGATGAAACGGGTTTGGCCTTATTTAGCGCTGTCATCTGCGTTATTGGGGCCAAGAGTAAAACTAAAATTGTCGTTGACTCATTTTGTCATTACACCATACTATTCCAACAGCTGGAAAACATGACACGCTTGTCACTGGGTTTATAGTACTACAGTCGGTCGTTTTGTTACAGACTGATAAACTGACAATTTCGATGATAAATAACATTATAACTATGCCATTTCAATTCGAACGTGACAGCACATGCATTAACGTTTCTCCTGAATGGCATCTGTCCACATATGCTTCTGGCAACTTCTAAATCTGAACTGTTTTCCCACAGGAGGGCTTCGAGCAGCCAGTGCAGGTGAGTAATGTTATGTCCACCACGTCTGTACCAACTCCATTGTTTTGTTGATCATGAAATGAGCAAACAGTGTGCCATATTTTTTCACCGTGCCAAAGAAACTCAAGGGCCTGAAAATAACTTTTGGCCGTTGGTTTGTAAGTTCTTTCGAAGAACTGACACTGCCAGAAAGACTCAATCATTTATAAGGTTCCATTCCGCTTCGTTCGCTACTCCCTGCATTATGAACCTCGCAAAGAAATATCTGGAAGGAACGTGACTGAAATGTGAACGGTGGTTGATTAGGGCGTGCCTTACAAAGGGGGCGTCTTGTGTATGAAAGGAGCCCCGGCTGTTATCGCCGGTCCTCAATCCTCATTTGGCATGTAGCACCCTCCTAGGACCGGACCCTCTTTCGCGTCTTCGTGAACTGTCTGCCGATTTTGATTTTAGCGTTGTAAACCGATACCCGAGTCCTATAGCAAGTGCTTTAAATTTTGGATGTTTTCCTATGGTGTGATCGATGTGACTGCATCCCGCAAACACCTTGGGAACACTGACAGCCATCTGCGGCTTCCGTTCCAAACAAAATCAATGAATGTCTTGGTGATGATGCACTCTTCTCCTCCAACCGAGATGCCTCTTTTCCATTTTTATCCCTTTCTGACCTCTTCTTGAAGTTCGAGTAGCGAGGTTCCATGATGGCCATCTTGCTTCGCGTCTGTCCTCAAATACTTACTCAGTCCCTCCACTTACCCCGCAGTGTCCAATTCCGCTCTTCAATTCCACACCACCCAGCAGCGCAGTGTCCCAGTGAAAAATGGCCCCGCCCCGAACAAGTTTCCAAAGTATGCGGCGCCCGAGTGTCCGGCGTTTCGCTCCGGTCATTTGTTCAGCTGTTCGCGTTTCGGGCTGTTTAATTAAGTCCGCGTGCGCGCGGCCGTCTCGTTAATTGCCGCCGGCCGGCCGGCCGTGTCAGCGCGCCCAGCCCGAGTGCTTCCTCTCCGCAGGGTGCGCGTGCCGCGCCCTCGCCCGGCTGCTGGCCGCCGGCCTCTGCGTGACGCTGCTGTCACGCACGCTGCTGGGCGGTACGCGTGAGGCGTAACCGACGACCGCCGTGGACGGCGCCGGCACACCGGACCCGGCGTGGACGGCGCCAGCACGCGGGACCCGCCACCCGCAGACCGACGATGGCCGGCGCACGAAACTGGGGGCCTGTGCTGACTCAGCTGGCGGTGCTGGGGACCTGTGCTGACTCAGCTGGCGGTGCTGGGGACCTGTGCTGACTCAGCTGGCAGTGCTGGGGACCTGTACTGACTCAGCTGGCAGTGCTGGGGACCTGTGCTGACTCAGCTGGCAGGGCTGTGGACCTGTGCTGAACCAGCTGGCAGGGCTGTGGACCTGTGCTGAAAGGAGCCCCTAAAGCAGTGCGTGACTTGAAGATTGTGCTCCACCGTCCCGCCAGCCGGGTGGCTGGCGGGACGGTGGAGCTGTACTGGCCCGGCTGGCAGGGCTGCGGACCTGTGCTTACCCAGCTGGAGGGGCTGTGGACCTGCACTGACCCGGCTGGCAGGGCTGCGGATCTGTACTGACCCGGCTAGGATCCCCATCGCCCTGTGGTATCCCGGCCAAGCGGGCGCGGACCCCTGTGGTCCGGATGAACAGCGTGGTCTCCCGTGCCCCGGTCGAACAGCCGGAACCTGCTGACCGGCACCGGTCCACGCCACGGCCGGCGGCCGGCATTAGTGGTCGGGTGATATGGATAACGACCACTGGATAACCAGAGCCAGCGACCAACGCATCTCCGGGCGCGATGAGTGATTGGTGAACCTAATTGGGTTCCTGTGCTCTGCAAGTCCGTTCACGGTTTGGAAGAACAACGCCATGCCACCCATTCCCATTGCGGGTTTTATCTGAACATGCTTGTTATTCGACTTAATCAGTGTGCGTATAGCTTGATGCCGACTCAACAGTACACTATGGTTTTCAGCACATATCTTATTAGCCTGCTGCTTGCAGCGTTATGTATGCGTGAGCAGCTTATTCGACATATCCTGAGGTCTATTCTGTCACCATTATACCATGTGTTGTCTGCACCCGTCAATTTTTTTCATGGCCGTTCGGTGCTAGAGCTCTTCATGGATTGGATCAATTCGTGGGTTTTGGGTTGAATCCGTGAATTAAACTAAATTTGATTCGGAAAACTAGCATTCACTGAATGCGGCTGGGTTGGCTCGAAAACATGACCATCACAAACGGGATGGAAATGACTGAAAAGTGCATTCAATTTAAAAATAAGGAATATTCCGAATGCATGCAAGGCCAAACCGACTGCTGTTTTTGAATCTGCAAAGATGATGCTGGGAACCATTTTCCTTTGATAAATTGATCTGAATTTCACTTCGCAATGGCAAAAAAAATTGTTGATTGGACGTGAGCAAAGAATGCCACGCTGATTTTGCTGGATCGCATTTATTCAATCCCTGGAGAGCTCCACCCATGGAACTGGCAACTGGTATTTTTCAGGCAGTGCGTGATTGCAGCAAGCCATGTGTAAACCATTGAATGTCGTGAAGTATTACAACTGACCTTGTACAGGGTACCAAATATACCATTTCACATGTTGCCGCATTGGTTCATATACTTTGTAGCCATTGCTCGAACTTCCATCTAATGGCAAGGGTGAATCCAGTCCAGTTACCTCACAGCGTTATCTTCGTCACGACAATCATGAATGATACTCCTCCATGCAGTTTGGTTATCTGCCATTCGTTCTCCCTGTATCCATCCCGTGTTGAAGACCGGGCCTGCCTGGTCTGTTTCGCCTCGATTTCCTCCGGCCGACCGACGCCCGAGGATCCTGGCTTCAATCCCCGGAAACACTCCCAGTGATGGGAGCGCCTCGGCCTATTCGATGTTGGTGCTCCCCTTGGGAACTCCCCGCTGCCCAACGCGCACACCGGGGGCACTTCAGCTAAAGGATCAGAATCGCAAGGCGACGGCCGGCACCGGGACTCGAGCCGTTGTTACCTGGTATTGGCTGACGTGGTCAATACTCAGCCACTCATCAGCTGGCTGGCGAAGCAGGAGCGAGCAGGACATTCAGTTCATGGAAGGTTGTCTGGGTTTGATGCCCGACGTGTACTTGTACATGACGATAGGGTCTGTTTAGAGGGAGACAGTTACATGTGCTCGGCTTTTCAGCATTTCCGATCGGTAATATACCGGACATATGCCACGCTTTTTCATATCCAAGGAATGCACCACTTGTACCTCCGAAAGGCGTCCACACTGCGCCCCTGAGCTAGTTGCTTAAATGTATTTGCCGCTTTTACGGTCCATCGATTGTGCTCGCTGCGCTGAGCCCGTATCCCGTCAGGCTGTGAGCTGAGGAGCTTTGGCTAAGGTATTCCCCGGCGTTCAGGCGTTACGTCTCCTGAAAGGCGTGGAAAACAGCGACCGGTAAACCCTACAGCGGCTGCTTTATCCGGAATGCTTTTTGAAACCAAGGGATCGCTGCTCGTAGCTTGTACACAAATGCAGAAACCGGGCTTTTGATGTTTCGGGGCTGAAAAGAAAATTCCAGAATAATTGACCGGTCTTTCAGATGCTAACGCTCTCCATGATTCGCCGTCTTTCATAACGCGGAATGAGGGAGAAGGGAAAGATCGATGCGACCCCCTGCCGTTCCTAAGCTAGGAAAGGAAGACTTTAGCGGAAAATACCAATGAATCTTTCTTAATGCGATGTAGCGATTCATAAAAGGTTTTATGTTCCTATGTCAATGATTGATTACATTATGCCAAATCTAAATTATATTTTCCAGAAAATCGCAGTTTTCAGCTTTACATGTCCACACGCCCGAGTTCATGCCTGTTAGCGACACCACAATGAAACAGACATGTTCGTTGTTTGATTATGAGTACAGTGGTGTGTAGATGTATGTGCTCCGCGCACATCTTATGATATATGTCATCTTATGATACATCTTACGATATCTTATGATATATTTGACTCCGCTAGTGTAACGATGTCGGCCCCCACGTTTTCCTCGGTATCGTCAGTTGCCACCTGCGCCGGGTTTTAAAGACAGTACGGTAAGATGGGGAATGGATTACACATCTCTGAGCTAGATTAATGTCAAAAGCATATAAAACGTACTGGACTACTTCTATTGGCGTAATAACGTTTCAAAATTGGGGGCAGGTTTAGAGCATACTTAAGAAATTTTGCCTGGAAGGCAAACCCGGCGACCGGGGAAGGGGTGGTGGTGGTGGTGGTGGAAGGGATAAAGGCTTTGTACACTCTTGATTCATGTAGCATATTTTGAGGCTATGTAAATGTCTTGGTTGGTATACCCGATTCTATGCCCCGTAAATGTCTTGGTTGGTATGCCCGACACCTACACCGGTTTTCTACTGGTACACAATTTTCCCATGCTCGACTCATCTATACCACTCGGTAATTCTACACAGCTTCTTAAAATACGTCGTCTGCTGCAGCATTGTTCCCGTGGGGAGGCGAGAATCCACGAGCGGGCAGACATTTTGGGTCATTGGGCAGGCACACACCCCCACAACTTACATGCCAAAATACGGTCTGGGCACAGGCCGGTCAGAATTTCGAATTTGAATCCATGGCCCATACCGCACCAGTTTTCACTGGCCTGGATTTCGCCGATTTCTTTACAAACGGTAAAGTTTCGTCGTAGTATTTTAGATAGACAAATTCTGAACTATGAATAGCACCTGTCCAAAATAATGTGACCAACGCCATGAACCCACTTTTCTCCTGTATAAACCAAGTCACAGAATGGAGACCTTTCTTTCAGATATTGCTTGTCTGAGTCATGCTACTTCCGCCATCGGCCATCGGCCATCGGCCATCGGCCATTCGCCATCGACGGCCACTGCCCAGCACCGGCTATAACCCACATGACAGACTGCGAACTGATCGTAGGACTGCTTTGTTGCACGTTTATATCTCAGAATCACTGCCTATTTGCGCATGATGCGGATGGGACGCCTGCTAGGGTATGTATTCCCGGATTATCTTCCCCTACGCCACAACACTGCACAAATTGCACTTTCGGGAAACTGCCTGCGTTTGGCATGAGTTGGTTCACCGGGTTTCATTTGCCCCTCATTCAGCACAGCCAACTTGATCCGCTGTTGTATGCAGCACGAAGGTACGAACTTCGCTTGAACAAGTTGCATGCCTACATCTGTCGGTCATCTGTCATCTGTCCTCTACATCTGTCGTACATGGTAGGATAAGAAGCTGCCATTTACTACATAAGCACTTCTGTCCAGTGCGATTTAGGGAAGATGGCTGGCAAATTAAGTAAATGGGCATGCATGTTTAAGGTGGTACAAAAGTAAGCTGAACGTAAATTAAATCGGAAAACTGGAGGGGGAAAGCAGTTAGCATTGCTCCCCCGCCTTGAAGAAGGGGGGGGAGGGGGGCATGAACCCCATGCCCCTCCTTCACCAATGAATTCTACAGATGACATATGACGACTCAAAATACGTGACTGCATGATCCAGCACAGATAAAAACTGCCTTTTCCACCTAGGGCTACCCAAATAACAAGAAAATACATTTTTAGATTTGACGTTTATAACTACATGTAAGGCAACGGTGCTTCTAGGCATCCAATGATGACTGCACGGTACGTGTAGTGTCCATATGCGACCTCGTGCCCAGCATTTGCGGCAACAGAAAACGTTTATCCCGCTCGGCAACGATCTTTCGAAGTGCATGGCCACTACATGTGACTGAACGCATAACTCATAGTTTGCTTCTGCCCAACAAAATAGAAGTGATGCTTGATTTGAAATTGAAAGTGATCCATCACTTGTCATTTTAGTTTTGCTGTCTAGCCTATCATCATTTCACCATTCACCATCATTTTTGGTCACCCAATCGTTTCTGTATATGGCAAACAATGGAAAATGTAAAAGCCACATAACGCGTGCGATTGAGTTACGGACTGCGATACACATTTTCGACACCATGGTGGTGCATGACAAGCGTACCTGGCACTTTCCCGCACCGCCTCGAAATATACCAGCAAGGTGTATCGTAATTTGTGACTGCGCCACT